CACAGTTCTGAATGAAGATACAAATTTCTTTGGGAGAACTTAGTGTCAATTTTGGAGTATTCTGTGAACATATGAATGTGCTTTTGGGGCTGTGATATGATGAATTTCTTACTGTGGACAGTGAAATCAAGCCCTTGGAAACTTCTGCTCTCAGGTGGGGTAACTCCCCTTCAGTCCCCGATACACTATTTTCTCTTAGAACTCAGACTTTGCAGTGCTGATCAGGAACTTGATTTGGAGTGTATTTCATCTTGTCATTTGCTCATAGTTGTGCTAGGCTTAGTGGTTAAGCTTCAGAGCTGTTCTTCCAGAACATCTGAGCTCACAGCTCACTGGTGGCTCACAATTTCCTTTAACTCCAGCTTCAGGAGATTTTTGATCTCTGAGGGCACCTTCTCTCACATGAACACATCCCCCTATGGAGATTATCTGAAAATAAATCTACACACACACACACACACACACACACACACACACACACACACACACACACGCAGGGTAGATACTTGGATACTTAAAACGGTCATGAAGACAAGGAGGGAAGTTGAGATGACAACACACACAGTCAGAAACTAATCACAAAAGGCACAGCTTAGAACATTTATACTGTGAAAAGGACATGCACATTATGGGCAGCAGAGAGCTGTAATCACTAAAAAGATCAGAATTAAATGTATTTTTCAGCAGGCAATACATTTATTCTTGTGGGAAATATAAACAGTTATTTCAACATTTTTGGCTTTCAGATATATGCACACAAAAAGCAAAAGTGCAGGAGCTGGCATCTAGTTTTGAATTTTTTATCAAGATTAAAAATAAATTAAGTGTCAAAAAGACCAAAAATAAATAAATAAATTAAGTAAATGCCTTTACTTATGGGAGTATTTTGCTTACATAGAGGGTATTTTAAAAATCAAGGCATTAAAATTTTTAGTACATTTAATTTATTTAAAAATCACTGCTGCGGGTGCTGGAGAGCTGGCTCAGTGGTTAAGAACACTGGTTGTTCTTGCAGAAGACCTGGGTTCAAATCCCAGCACCCACACGGCAGCTAACAACTGTCTGTAACTCCAGTCCCAGGGGATCTGACAGCCTCTTCTGACCTGGGTGGGCATTGCACGACACAGGTGCACTTACCTACATGCAGGCAATACATGCACACACATAAAATAAGTAAATAAATAAAATAAAATAAAAACACTGTATTCTTTTTCTTTTCTTCTCATTTCACCAAACACAAGAAAACTTAAGCTTTATTTGGTAACCACTGCTGTAAATTGCTTTCCAAAACTGTGGAAAGGGCCTGTGAGCCGATGGTCTATGTGTTGTATTGGGTTTCTATTCAGAAGAGGACATACAAGAAATACTAAGTTAAAGTTGTGCATCAACTTCCCAGCCTCGAGGGAAAGGGTGGTTCTCAAATAGATAAGCATTTGAAGCAGGATGTTTAGTAGATGATGCCTGATTATCTGTCAACCATGCTGACCTATTTTTTTGTTTTTTCAAGGAGTTGCACGGTATTTCCTAGTATCTTTTGACTATAGGTTTATTGAAAGATTATGCTTGCACTTTTAAACATTTCTATTTTCTTCCTCTCTTTCTTTCCTTCTTTCTTTCTCTCTCTCTCTCTCTCTCTCTCTCTCTCTTTCTTTCCCCTCCCTCCCTCCCTCCGTCCCTCCCTCTCTTCCTTCTTTCTTTCGATGTGTTTTGCCTGCATAGAAGCCTACCACATGCATTCAATGCCTGCAGAAGCCAGAAGAGGGCAGCGAACCCCCTGGAACCCAAGTTACACATGGTTTTAGCCACCATCTGAGTACTGGGAATCAAACCTGGATCCTCTGCAAGAGCAATCTGTGCTTTTAATCATGGAACCATCTTTCCATCCCCTGAAGCAACATATATCACAGAAAACAGCTTATTTGTGGCTCGAATTATGGCATATTCGTCTATGAGCTTGCTTGTATTCACCTTGAGATAACTTACATAATTAGGACTGCTCTATTTGCTCCCCCCAATCATGTTTTAAATTATCTTAATTACGACTCTTATGTTTATTAGAGGACTTGGTTCAGAATTAGGCAGCTTGGCTTATGTTTGCTGTGATGTATCAGGTCACGTGAAACATTTTTGATTTAGTCTGCTGTCTTCCCTCACATAATTATATGGAGTGTGGATACCTCTTGCATAGCTTTGGATTTTTCTCTCTCAACCTTTAACTTGGGAGAAATGATTCTATGAGAAAACCTATAAAATATAATCCACATTCATTTATTGCTGTTAACAGCAGTCCGTAAAGCACCCACATGTCAGCAGCAGCACCATGACGCTTTTAAGTGTTCAGATTCTTTGGAAAACCGATGAGGGCCTTTTTTTGACTGATATTATGCCAGCTTTCAGCAAAATTCCATGTGCGTGCTCACTAAAGACTGCATACGGATTTCATAAAGCGACGTAGCTGCCAATGTAGCACAGTAACGTTCTTCCCAATGTTACTCAGCTGTGCTGATGGATGGAACATGCTACAGCTGTCCTTGTGCCAGCATTTACTGCCCAGAGATGACTGTGATTGTGTATCTCTCCCAGATCCTTCAAACACCCAAACAGATCTTCTATCTGTAGTGTCACAAATTGGGGTTTAAAGGTTGAGGACGCGGTATGACAGATTTCAATATGATTGCTATTCTCAGAAAATCATGCCCCAGACTTGCGCATTTGTTCAAAGCCTAGCTGTGCCTGTGGTAAGTTGGCACTGTCATGCTGTTCTGACACACTGGCTCTGCCGTCAGTGATGCATTAGGAAGGAAACCCTGGGAAGCAAACCAGAGATGCATTTGTCCTTTAAGCTCTGAGATTGACGCAGCAGGTAGTGTATCTTAATTTAAATCCAAATGGGATCAATTGCGGATCACATTTCTTTTCCTTTCACATTTATCCTACAGAGTTGTTCTTAGGGGGAAAATGACTAGGTCTAGACCTTCGCCACTGGCTTTGCTAGTGGTATTTGAAGTCGAAAAGTCACTCAGCAATTATAAATAGAAGAGCTTCTGACAATGTATACAAATGCAAGAGTAGAAGTAATTATTATTGAAGTGTTGGCCATGTGCTCCTTCCTTTGCGCCTACGGGACAGTCATTCATTTCTCATTTATATTTCTCCTGTATAACAGCAGAAATTTCACTTTTGATTTCTGAGGAATCATGTGGTCTTAGTGTACAGGAATTTGGGGACAGTTTAATAACTAGAAGTTGTATAAAAAATGTAGTCAAAATTACTATAAATTGTAGAAACAATTTTTATCAAGATTATTTTGAGGGGCTGGAGAAATGGCTCAGCAGTTAATAGCACTGGCTGCTCTTGAAGAGGACCCAGGTTCAAATCCTAACAACCATCTGTAACTCCAGTTCCAGGGGATTCGATGCCCTCTTCTGTCCCCTGTGGGCATTGCATGACCTCGGTGCACTTACATACACACAGGCATAATACTTACACACATAAAAGAAAACTAAATTTAAAAAATTATTTTGAAAACAAAAGATTAAGGATGATAGGGTGTAATATGTCTTCCTTAGGCAGCAAAGACAACTAGCTTGGCTATTTTGACCATGGTGCTTAAAGATTTGCCATTAATTGAATATATTAAAACCAAAGGGGATATACTAATTTGCTAGTTTTCCTCTAAGAATTTTTTCAGTGATTTATTGACCTTGATTGAACATGGTCCTGGAGATGCAAAGGTAAAGAATTAGTGCCCTCCCTCAAAGCCATCATCTCTAGTGATAGAGGCAGATGTTAGCTAGAGATGAAGCATGTGATTTGAAGAACCCTAATCAAGGAGGTTGATGAAGTGAATTTTACTCTTGGAATTTCCTAGAATGGCTTCTTTTGTCAGCAGCGGGTTTTTATTCTTACCCTTCCAACAACATGATTTAAATTTCTTAGAGTAAATGTGTTTAGTTAGTAGTTTCAGAAATACCAGAAAATACGGTTTGGTGCAAAAGTTAGTGAAAATACTGACTTAGGAGCCCATCACTTAATCCTTCCAGGTCAAGTTGCTCACCAATAAAACCTTCCTCCTTCACACATCACTGTGGAGATCAAATGAAATATACTAAACAACACAAATGCTATATAAAATACAAAAAGAGGTTAAATAAAACTAAAAATCTTAGAAAATAGAGAAATCTATTGGTAAAAATCTTATAAATCTAGAAACAGTTCTGAACATTCTGATTTTCTCTTTACATGAAGAATAAAGTGTTCATGAGTCTGATGGCAAGGACTTTTAGCTTCATTGTTAAAAAATCTATCGCTATGAATCTTGTGATCTCAGTCTACGTAGAAAATTACACTGATTTGTATGTTGATATATGGTCTATATATCACTCAGTGGAATTATTCTCCCACTATCTTGTTTAACACTGCAAATTCTTTTAAAAATGTTTTATTTATTGTTTTTATTTTATGTGTATGCGTGTATTGCCTGCATGTATGTAAGTGCACCCGTGTCATGCAATGCCCACGGAGGTCAGAAGAGTCTGTCGGACCCCCTGGAACTGGAGTTACAGACAGTTGTTAGCTGCCATGTGGGTGCTGGGAATTGAACCTGAGTCCTCTGCAAGAGCAGCCAGTGCTCTTAACCACTGAGCCATCTCTCCAGCCCCTATTGCTGAAAATTCTTTGTAATATAATGAAAGTACAATGGTACTAAATTAAGAATCCAGTTTAGAACACTTGGTCTGTTACCGTGTTATTCTGTCTGAGTTGTGAATCATTTTCTCAGCAGCATTCATTCTGTTGACTACTTGGACCTTGAGATGCCATGTGGGTGCGAGCTCTCCTGTCCTGCACTGCAATAGCAGATCATGTGCTCCACCAAGATGGCTCAGTGCAGCTTCTCTGCACTATGGGATTCCTTCAGATAATAGAAACCTTCCAGGCATTTCTTTATGGGAATTATTTATGTAGGAACGACAGCCATGACTCTCACCGCCTTTTCACAGGTCCCAGGAGACAAGAGGTTCCTAAGAAGCATATAGCTGTGTCTGCATTTCCACAGAGCTGCTGCCAAGAATGCGCGTGTGCAGCTGTGTACCTGGGAATGCTCCAGATGCACAGAACTCTGCTTTGTAAAGATTTATAAGAAATGCATCGAATATGAACATGGCATATACATATGCTTTGGTGAGACACAAGTGGAACTTTTCCAAGCCTACAGGAATTGTGCAATCTAGATATTTGGGAATAGATTTGAGGAATGATATGAAGCATTAAGAAAACTGGAATTAGCAATGATTATTTCTAGATAAACTATACTCCTTTTAAAATAATTGCATGATATGTATTTAGAAGCATTAGTCTCTTATACATATGGTATCTGAAACTGATTTGCATTATTAAGCTATTTGGGGCTATTAGGTATCATTACAATAAATTTAAAGCTTTGAAAGACTTCAGTTATAAATATTAGAGCTTAAAATTTATTAGATTTATTCAGATAGATTGTTTATTAATTTAGTAAAATACAATTTGGTAATGCATAGTTTGAGAAGAAGCTCTTAGGTGACTGATAATGAATGTGACAGTGTGTGACTTAGCTGGGGGTTGTGCATAGCGAGTTCTGATTTTCCTGCCTCCTCTCAGATTTCTCCGACAGTATAATTTCAATTTCACATGTTCCCACACTGTCATTTGGAACTTATTGAGCATGACAGGCTCTGTTGAAGAAAATACTCCCAAAGGACACTCAAACATTTCTTTTGCTCCATCAAACTATCAACTTAAATATAAATTGTTTTCTTTTTATAGGCATGTTATGTAACAAACAGTTTAGTGGTCACATACTTTCTGTGATATATTTTCCAGTTGATAATCTAGGATGGTTTAAAGAGCTTATAGAATTTTTTTCTTTAATGCATGCATTTTAACATCTTGATGCAAACTCACCATAGAACAACTGAGGGCAGTATCAGCAATCCCAAATGATAATAAGAGTACATTGATGAAGAAAGTACATTTACCTTCTTGAGGTCTTCTCCAGGACAGGTATGAAACACCATGAGAGTTAGAATATTAAGTTTAGTGAGAAACAGGAATGTGGATGGTGGTAGAAATACTCCTGAAATTTTTAAAAATGTAAAAATATGTAATCTGAGTTTGTGTGTTCATGCTTTTATGAGGGACAAAGAGGGAAGAAGTGGCTAAAAACTTTCTCAATCATTTTGCAATAAAAAATTGTGTTGTAAATCTAATTAAGTGACCTTTAAACATAGCTAACAATCTGGAACTTATAATAACTTCTAACAAAGAAAGGACAGAAGTATGAAGAAAATTTCACAATTAGATGAATGTGGTAACATACTCTAGGGCCTAAGGAGGCAGAGCTTATTTATGCATCATGGTCTAGCTTTCCACATGATGCTCTACACGCAGACACAGGTATTTGTACACTTGTTGACCCTTCTTTGCACAGTTCATTGTTTGTTTGTTTTACTTTATTTTTATCTAGAGGATTGGTCTTTCTGTTTCCTTTGGAAGACTTGAAATATGAGAACTATGCACGGTGAGAGGATGAATTACTTTAACTGATTTCTTTTTGATAAATTAACTCAGTGTTGGTAAGTACAAACTAAGTCATTTGTTTTCTTTTGGCGCCATTCTGATATCTAAGACCCTGCTTCATACAGTGATCCATTTCAAAGACAAGGAGAGTAGTGAGGGGAATACCAGGCCATTTGACTCATCCTAGCTGTCACAATGGAGTATTTTCTTGGATTTATTCCAGTTCTCTTAAATTTGTTTGTCCCAAATGATCAAGTAAGTTGGAAAACACAGCATACAGTACATACTAGCTCACACATTGACTCCACGGCAGGACGATCGTTTTCCCGTACATGGACCTTGTGTTTTATGTAATTCTTAGAAATGGCCATTTCATTCATGAGTAGTTTCTCTTCCCTCAGTTTTCTTAGGTTAATTTTATTTGTTTTCTTCAACCATTCATTTACCAAGAAATCTTGTTGTTATACAATAATGTTTGGCCTTTTAATCGTACAATTGCTTTTCAATACTGCAGTTACAATGATGCTTAAAGCATAACAAAGATCTTCGATGTGGGGGGTACAATTCTCCATTATTACTATGACGAATTTGATATGAGGATTGGTTTAGGCTTCTTTTATTGATTACTATATGATTACTATGAAATAACTCATATGTATTGACAGAATGTGTATCATTTATTTGTACATGCCTGGTCCTATATATGACTACCAGATGAAACTGTTGTTTGTGTTGCTTAAATATACGGTCTCCTCTAAATGCCTATGTGTTTTCAAAGAGAAATAAGTGGGACTCTCTTAAAATGTTAGGAATTTTTCAAAATTTCCCATTATTTTCTTAGGTTTTTTTTCTTTAAAGAATTCGACGATCTATTTCACATACATCTGTACTTAGGGTTGTTGTGATTTCTTGGAACATTATGTCTTTTACCAATTAACACGTCATGTTATCTTCCTGTTAGTATCTTTGTCTCTTATTTGCCTCAATCAAACGTTATTTTGGTCAATATCTGCCTGGTCTTATTCTTCCTTATTTTGTGCTAACATTTATGTGCTGTGTTTTATACTTGACTTTGGTAAATGTAATGATAGTGAAGTTAATCCAATCTAAGAATCTCTATTTGGACAAGTTGAATTGATCTTTTATGTCGTCATTGCTAACTTGCTTGATTGCAATTCTATCACTTATTCTAGTTATCTTTTTATTACTGTAATAAACACTGACAAAAAAGCAACTTGGGGAAGAATGGGTTTGTTTGGCGGATGCGTCCTGATCACAGTTCATCACTGAGGGAAGCAGTAAGAACTCAGGGCAGGAACCTGCAGGTAAGAAGTGAAGCATGGACCACAGGAACACTGCCTACTGCCTCACTCCTCTGACCTGTGCTCAGTGTGTTTTCTTATACAACGGAGGACCACCTGCCCAGGGGTGGAACCACTCATGTTGTGCTGGACCCTCCCACATCACTCAACAATTAAGGAAATGGCCCAACAACATGATAGAGGCAATTCTCCAGGTGCATCTGAGTTAACAACTGAAGCCATCTAGTGTGGTAACCTCATTCTCTGTTTCCTAGATTTTTATTGTTTTGTCTTCTTATGCATCTGATTTTGAAGTTTCAACAGATCCTCTTGACTCAGTCAACTGATTCCATAGGATTACAGACAGTCATGAGCCACCACACTCTATGGTATGTGTATATTCTTCAGTGAAAATAGTCAATCTGTGTGAAGCCAGACATGGACAAGGTTGTGGAGGCAGCACTTACTTCACAAAGTCTGTTTCTGTAATAGAATATTTATTATTATTATTATTTTTATGTATTTGAGTGTATTACCTGCATGTATGTGAGTGCACCTGTGTCATGCAATGCCACGGAGGTCAGAAGAAGTCTTCAGAATCCCCTGGAACTGGAGTTAAGGATGTTTCATTGCCGCCATGTGGGTTCTGGGAATTGAATCCAGGTCCAATAGCATATTTTTAATTGATTCTTAATCACTTTTGTTTTTTTTTTTCCTTCATGGAGTATTTTTGTTTAACTTACATTCAAGTATGAGTTTGTGTTTAACACGTTTTGGGTGGGGTAGATATCGTGTGTAGTCCAGAACATGTAGCCTGAATATCTGCTTTGTGACAATGTCACATTTGTGACATTGTGCAGATTTTGTAAAAAATTCAGTTTTCCTTTTCAAGGAAGAGAGAGCCTCTCTCTACTTCCTAGATTTCTGAATAAACTCTATGTTCTACATTTCTGTCTTCTAATCTTGTATATATCTGGTCTATAATACTAGCTAAAATTCTGACTTATTTATGGAAAGCTCAACCTTTACTGGTATATATGGTATGATAGTCTATTTAACCCTGTTCACTTAATTATATATTAGAATTTCTTTGATCTATGTACTGTCTGTCTGTCTATTATCTATCTTTATAATCATTAGGCTTTTATTCTTACACATACCAAAAATGCTTTGGTCCTTCAATTTTGTCAGTACACTTTTAAATCCTTATTCATTTTTTGTCATAGATGAATACATATTAAATTTCATTATTTATATTTAAATATTTTTATCTTTTTGGAGGAAAAATATAATTTGGGTTTTGAATTTCATTTTGTTTCTGTATTTACAGGGAGTATAGGTGATTATTAATGTGACTGGTTTTAAAATTTATAGCTACAGGAATCATGGTTAATTCTATGTTATTAGGCTGAGAGCAGAGATGTGTATGTGTGTAGATATGTATGTATACATACAACTGTGTACAGGCACATACACCTACACATACACAACCACCAGTATTAGAGTGAAGGAACTTTCCAACTAATTTAGATAAAGGCATACATTCTTTAAAAATTATTACATTTGTTTATTTATTATTTTTGATGTGCATTCGTGTGCACATGTGTGTACCATGGCATTCAAATGGAGGTCAGAGGACAGAGTGCTAAGTTGCTTTTCTCTTTCTGCCATGTGGGTCCAGGGATCAAACTCAGATTGTCAAACTTGGCAGCAAATGCTTTTACACATTGAGCTATCTCTCTGGCCCAAGCTACAAATTCTTAATTGGAAGTAACGTGTTCACAAAGGGCGAGAATTCACAGTACAAATGTCATCTGAGCTTCCTTTAACTAATAGAATAATGACAATGACTTTTAACTGCCCAGCCTGTGAAGGTCAGGCCTCCTGTTCCAACGTTTGGAGCACTGCACATACATTAACAATGTAGGTGTGTTGGTTTCTGAAGGAATTTCTACAAACATTGGATTTCTTGGTTTATATAACAAGTTCACTGTGAATAAGGCCATGTGTTCACTTGGGAAGACATAAGATCACAGGTGTTTCAAATAATGTTTCAATCTTCAGCTTACAACTGTCCTGCCAAACCTGTTTCTCCACAGATGGCCCTCGAACTCTTAGTTATATGGTTATATGGCTTTCTGGGTAGTTTGCATAATGAGTTTGGTCCAAGTCCACTTGCACTACGTATCTCCTGTGAAGAGTGTAGGTGTCGAGGAAATAGTTGAACTGGACATCATTCATAGAATTACATCTTTTCCCTTTAGATGACAGCAATAATGATGACAAGGATGATGCTGACGACTGTTAGTGGTCCCAAAGTCCATGCCATTTGCGTAGTTTAAGAAAATAAAATATAGAAAAGTTCAATTTTAGACTCAGCATGCCGCAACAGTCAAATGAAATCAAATGTTCTTGTTGAATTTGAGACAATATGCTATTTATTTATTTAT